CTGTGGTCACTCTCCATGTAGCATCAATTATGCTAATGCTATCTGCCTGTCGCGTTCTCTCGTCCTGGCCACACCTCCACTCTCTAACCCCCCGCCCATTTCCCCTACCCACTTTGATGCATTTTTCAAATTTCGCCTTGGGGCGGAGTTATCTTTTCACAGTGGGGTAAGATACACTTTAAATTAAACCAGAGAGCGTTGACAGAGAGGAGAAGGTAGAAATGACTCAGCCTGGAACTGAAAATATGGATGGAGGACAACAGTTTAGCTTGTTAGTTTGTCGCACTAGCACCGAGCTAATACATATAAGGYAATAYAGCGTCGGGGCTGACGCTAAAGCTAACAAGCTAAGCTGAGGTTCTTMTTCCATGAAGCAGCTCGTTTGTCCTCCATCTAATTTGGGGAAAATCGAGTTTTTGTTTTTCTTTTCCCACCGTAGCACTTTTTGGTGCTTCTGTARTTCAGAGGTCACCCCACCTGTCTCTCAAGACACTCGGCAGATGACATGACCATAWGGCAGCTAGCGAARAGGATCTACTTCTCAAAGAAGGCAGTGTTTCTTCAGTTTTCCAGAGGACCTACTTATTTTTTTCTTTTTGATTTTTGTACCTGTATTACTGAGATGCATCAGGACATTATTTTGTATGGTTTATAATGTTCTTATGGARTCCACTGTCAGATTTAATATTGGTGTAGGATTAAAAATTTATCCACATCCCTACRAGGTGAAACGGTCACAAAGGCCCGATTGGTTCAGCTATGAATTCTGGCAGAAATCATGAACTTGAGTTCCAGAACAAAACCACCCATAACTTCTCTAATACTTGAGATAATCACATGATTTAAGTGTTATTTTAAATGTTTTTTCATGWTGATTTGGAACTCATTGTCAATTTTGATATTGATGTGGGATAAAAACTGTATTCACATCTAAAGAAGTAGGCCTCGTACACCAGAAGGGCAACAGCAAAAACCTCTCAAACTGGTATCAGCAACATGAATGGGAAACACATGTGGCCTTTTTTACTCATCCCTCAGGGATGTTCAGTCTTGTGTAAAAAGGTCACTGCCAGGACCAGAGCAGCAATATAGAGCCATACAAAGAATATAAATGGGTTTTAATGTACTTATACATGGGATTAGCTTGTAAACATGTCAAATTTAGCCACAATGGCTGATTTTTGTCTTGGCAGGTTGAGGGTAAGATACTATTAATTAGCATCAACAACACAAAGTGATATAATACTAACAGATTTATTTAAAAAATGACCATACATACCTTAAAAGTGATGAGAGCTTTAGGGTTTCTTCAGATGTGGAGTTATTGGAAAACTCTTTAACTCGATAGCTAGCTTGTCTAGCTAGCTAGCCAGGTATCTACCTACCTATCTGTTGATGGGAAGTCTTACAGTTTTGTTTTATATGCACCAAAATCTGTCAATATTAATTCGTTTTTCTATAAACATCAAACTACCACGTTAAAATGATTTTTAAAAACGTCTTAAAGTATCAAATATTATTGGTTTGGGTTTTGATTTACCGGGTGGAGGATGTCCCGCCTTCCAGCTTCTCTCCGAACTGACGTCACTTCCTGTTATCAGGCAAATATGGCTGCCGCCGGCAACTCGGCGCCGACCGTGCCCACAAATGTTGTCATTAAAACCGAGCCTGAGCCCGAGGCTGACGTGGTCTCCAGCCCGTTGRATGTGCCGGTTTTGCGGAACCCGGYGGTGCCTCTCCTGTCCCCGGTGAGCGGACCGCAGCCTCTGTCCTGGTCGGAGGACCACCGGCTGGCTGTGTGCACCTCCAGCTCCCTGACTGTGCTGGAGCTGGTCTGCGACGTCCGCAGCAACAAGCAGGACCTGACGCTGCACCGGACCTCCATCTCTGCCGCGAACGAGACGCACAAACTGCGGGTGAACGCGCTCAAATATATTACTAATTTAATTAGAGRCAGCACGTAAACTTTAGCTACGATGCTAGTTATGCTAACGGCTAAAAACACTGCAGCCGGAAGCATCTGAAGCTCTGATGCAGTGTTGAAAGTCAGGGATCAGCAGCAGCTCATTAGTGGGGAAATTAGAGATAAGTTACTACGTTTTTATATTTAGCTTATATTAAATAAATAGTTTTAATTGTGCATTTTGAGTTTGTTTACCTGGGACTCCATGAGGAGCTTGAGAAAGGGGGACCTGTTGTCTTTGAGACCTGACCACAGACAGGCCAAAGATGTGATACATAACAGAAGATGTAACAGATTCCCCTAAATAAATTAACTTTATAAAATATATTTTTTTCAGCTGTTTTGTATCAAAAAGAGCTGTAACTAGAGCTGCCAYGATTAGTCGACTATTAAAATCATCAACGACTAATTTAATAGTCGATGTGTCTTTTTTTCTAACTTTGTATTTTTTTATAGGTGATTAGTCGAATGTAAAACTAATCGTTTGAGGCAGCCCTAAGGACAGAAAGGCAGAYGTGGCAGTGGAAGGTGCCGCAGCAGTTTGGAGAGAAAAACAAAGCTAGAAAAACAACAACACATCAACTAATAAATTAGTCGACAATAATCATGACTAGTCGACTAATCGTGGCAGTCCTAGCTGTAACACTAGTCGTTTTGCTGATGGGAGTAGTGGATGCCTTGTGAGTTTTTATTATTTGTGTTTTTTGACTTTGACTTTATTGAACCTAATGTATTAAAAGAAAAAAACAAAGTTATATACAAAAGAAACATTTATTTAAAACAAAAAAAGAACAATAGTGAATTATATTTACACATTCAAAGGAGTGGGTAGAGGTATAAACTTATCTTTTACACCCATCTTACWTCTGGAGCAGGGGCTCTCAAGCCATTTGTGTCTGGGGACCCCTGGGCGAAACAAGGGTGAAACAATTCCAGGGATCCCCTCATAAATCTCATGTTGTTTTAAAAGATAATTTGTTGTCATTTCAACCCCTAAATGCCATGGGAATATATATTTTTTTATTAAATTTATTATGTTTTTTTATTAGTTCATTGTTCTCCACATTTTTTAAAAATATAACCAAATTAACAATTTAATGAAATTTTTTAAGGACCCCCAAGATACAGTGGTTTGCAAAAGTATTCATACCCCTTGAACTTTTCCATATTTTGTCACATTACAACCACAAACATAAATATATTTCACTGGAATTTAATGTGAAAGACCAACACAAAGTGGTATWCAATTGTGAAGTGGAAGCAAAATTTTACATGAATCAAAACATTTTTTACAAATAAAGAACTGAAAAGTGCGATGTGCAAAATTATTCAGCCCCCCTGAGTCAATACTTTGTGGAGCCACCTTTTGCTGCAATTACAGCTGCAAGTCTTTTAGGGTATGTCTCCACCAGCTTTGCACATCTAGTGACTGCAATTCTTGCCCATTCCTCCTTGCAAAACAGCTCAAGCTCAGTCAGATTGGATGGAGAGCGTTTGTGAACAGCAGTTTTGAGATCTTGCCACAAATTCTCAATAGGGTTTAGGTCTGGACTTTGACTGGGCCATTCTAACACATGAATATTCTTTTTTTTAAACCACTCCATTGTAGCTTTGGCTTTATGTTTAGGGTCGTTGTCCTGCTGGAAGGTGAACCTCCGCCCCAGTCTCAAATCTTTTGCTGACTCCAACAGGTTTTCTTCCAAGATTGCCCTGTATTTGGCTCCATCCATCTTCCCATCAACTTTGACCAACTTCCCGGTCCCTGCTGAAGAGAAGCACCCCCAGAGCATGATGCTGCCACCACCATATTTGACAGTGGGGATGGTGTTTTCAGAGTGATGTGCAGTGTTCTTTCTCCGCCACACATAGCGTTTTGCATTGTGGCCAAAAAGTTCAATTTTGGTCTCGTCTGACCAAAGCACCTTCTTCCACATGTTTGCTGTGTCCTCAACATGGCTTCTGGCAAACTGCAAACGGGACTTCTTATGGTTTTCTTTTAACAATGGCTTTCTCCTTGCCACTCTTCCATAAAGACCACATTTGTGTAGTGCACGACTAATTGTTGTCCTGTGGACAGTTTCCCCCACCTGAGCTGTGGCTCTCTGCATTTCATCCAGAGTCACCATGGGCCTCTTGGCTGCCTCTCTGATCAGTAATCTCCTTGTTCGGCCTGTAAGTTTAGGTGGACGGCCTTGTCTTGGCAGGTTTACTGTGGTGCCATACTCTTTCCATTTCCGGATGATGGATTGAACAGTGCTCCGTGAGATGTTCAAAGCTTGGGAAATCTTTTTATAACCTAAGCCTGCTTTAAACTTCTCCAAAACCATATTCCTAACCTGTCTGGTGTGTTCTTTGGACTTCATGATGCTGTTTGCTCCCCAATATTCTCTTAACCAACATCTGAGGCCGTCACGGAGCAGCTGTATTTGTACTGAGATTAGATTACACACAGGTGGACCCTTTTGAGTCATTAGCAGTCATCAGGCAACTTGCACTCAGGGAAAAGGGGGCTGAATACTTTTGCACATCGCACTTTTCAGTTTTTTATTTGTAAAAAATGTTTTGATTCATGTAAAATTTTGCTTCCACTTCACAATTGTATACCAMTTTGTGTTGGTCTTTCACATTAAATTCCAGTGAAATATATTTATGTTTGTGGTTGTAATGTGACAAAATATGGAAAAGTTCAAGGGGTATGAATACTTTTGCAAACCACTGTACCTCTCACGGACCCCTGGGGGTCCTGGGACCCCAGTTTGCGAATCTGATCTAGAGAATCCTCAATTACAATTCATAATAATTATAACATTCTTTCTTTTTTAATATTTTCTCTATCCATATCTCTAACTTATACAAAGCATTCATTTTTGCATGCCATTAAGAGCAAGCTTCCATCATTTTTAACACATTAACATTTTTTCCATAAACCATAATGCAGTATTAACAACTTTTTTAAACTAAACAATAACATTAATAGTTTTTGTCTTATAAAGGTGGGACTGCCAGCGGAGGTAGATCCGGCGATGGAGAAGTTCACCACACACCCTGATCCCACTGTGAGGCAGGTCTTCCTGACCGACACGGCCATCAACCCGTCCGTCGGCGAGCACAAAGGAATCAAGTACGCCAGCTGGTCTCCGACAGGCTGCGACCCGAACGGACGCTGTCTGCTCGCCTGCCTGACGCTCGACAACAGGCTCACCGTTCACTACAGCCACAGGCGGCTGGAGTGGAACCTCCTGGTTGATCTGTCCAAAAAGTACGGCAAGAGGCTGAAGGAGCGAGGCTACGCTAAAAAGGACGGCGTGCCTCCGGAGGCGAACCTGTCGGACTTCGACGAGCTGCAGCGCCGGTTCCGCATGCAGACGCCCCTGAGGATGGAGTGGTCGAGCGTCTACGCGGTGCGGCAGGTCCAGCAGGACAACGCCTGCGTGAACGTGGACATGGTGCTGCTGGCCGTCCTGATGGAAAACGGGGACCTGGTCTTGTGGAGGTTCGGGCTGCCGTTCGCGAGCGGAGACGACGTGGAGTTCTACGACCTGATCGAGTCGGGCGTGGCCCGGCCCACCGGCRTGGCGTGGTGGGAGTACGAGAGCGCGGACCGCCGGATGAGCGGMCTGATCGTCGGCAGCGAGGTGGGACCCGTGAGGATCGTGCCGGTGGGCCTGTCGAAGGTCAGGGGCTACTTCACCCTCCGGCACCCCATCATCCTGTGGAAGGAGAGCGACCTTATTCCCGTTGAAAACATCCGATGCGTCTCTCTGGTCCAYCCCGTCCATAAATCCAGCTGCAGCCTCATCGTGGCCTCGCGCGGCTGCTACGTCTTCTGGTGTTTGCTGGGGATTTCGGACAGCGGACTGGACGTGCGCAACTCGCACCTGACGGGGCTGCACTCCCTTCCCGTGGTCTCCCTGGCGGTCAGTCGGCACGGCGTTGCGGTCTACACGTGCTCCTTGGACGGCTGGATCAAGAAGCTGACGCCACAGTTCACAGAGAACTCTGTGGTTTTTAAAGTGGAGGACTTGTCGCAGCCCGAGAGCCTGGCAGGACGGAGGCTCCACGGGATCGCCATGAGCTGGAGCGGGGCTTACATCACCGTGGCCAGCACTCAGGGTATAGTCGACAGCGTTCACCCCATCACCCGGTCCTACAAGCTTCACTTCCTGGCTCTGACAGCTCCTGACGCCGCGGCGGCGCTCCTGCTCAAGTCCCCCGCCCAGAACCTGTATAAAATGGCCGACCTGCTGGACCTGCTGAGGTGGGACGTGCTGAAAAACAAGCGCATCCCGGCGCCGCTGCGGGAGGAGCTGGAGCAGAAAACCCAGGAAGCGGACTTGCCCTACTTGTGGCGACTCAAGCTGTTTCTGCTGCGGACCCTCCACCAGGCGCTGCAGGCCCCGCCGCAGCAACACTCCTGGAAACCCAACCTGGGGGCGGACCAGGAGGGAGCGGACTCTGACGGGGCCAAAGAGGAGGAGCAGAGGGCCGAGGTGCGGACTCAGATMGGAACTCTAGAGACCCGTCTGATGAGGGAAAACATGAGGAAGGTGTTGGGAGTGGTTTACCTSAACACCTGGATCACTGAGAACACCAGCGTGCCCACCTGTGGCCTGATGGAGTACCTGTCCAGRGATCCCAGCGACAGAGCTTCAGAGGTAACAAACTGGTAATGACTCTTCACCTGTTAGACTCTCCTTTTCTTCGGCTGATCTTTAAAAGTCAGGGTCGATMATTTCTACATGTTAAAACCTAACAAAGATTTAGAGGAGTCTCTGCTCTAACACACATTATTTAATTAACAGGCTTCTGCAGTGATKAAATCACTGAATCAGGTGTTCTGGAACAGGAAAATAAGGAAAACACAGACATTTAATTATAAAA